TGTATTCTCTTGGCTATATTTGTGGTTTGTAAATATTATATTAATTTTTATCTCACCTTTGCATATTAAACAGATATTTTCTTATTTTCTAATTTATTTATTTTATACTTACTATTTTTCTCTTTTACATTTGTTACTTATATCTTTTTGAAATTTAGGTGATTTAGTCGACTCTTTTTCTTTCTCTTTCTCTTTCTTATTACCATAGGCATGAAAGATACAAAAGTTCCTCCAATATAGTTTTTTTAAAAATTAAAAAGTTCCCTGGCTGGCATAGCTCAGTGGATTGAGTGCAGGCTGTAAACCAAAGTGTCGCAGGTTCGATTCCCAGTCAGGGCACATGCCTGGGTTGCAGGCCACGGCCCTCAGCAACCACACATTGATGTTTCTCTCTCTCTCTTTCTCTCTCCCTTCCCTCTCTAAAAATAAATAAATAAAATTAAAAAAAATTAAAAAGTTATTTATTTTTGCCATCACCATGTGCCCCCTCATGGCCTCTTTCACTGCCCCCTGCTCCCTGCCCCCGCCCACAGTGACCACACTGTCCAATACAGTTTAAACTGTGACCCTGTATCTTATTTTTTTGTTTGTTAGTGTTTAAAATAACGTCCCCATCTTTGGTGTTGCCCTTTCAACTCATCACAGACTCTTTGTTCCATTCTTGCCCGGTCACGCGCATGTTGGTGGCATGTTGGCTTTCTCTCCGATATCATTGTATGGACGTCTGAGAGAGTGTGGGTAAAACTTTGGTGTATTTATTGTGGATCTCTTTATCTTAAAAATTGCCGTTAAGTTTTATGGGAGCTTAATGTGCACTTGAGAAAGCTCTGTGTTTCCCCGTCTTTCCTCTGTGGAGCGATTCATCCGGTCGCCTCCTTTTGCAGAAGAAATGGAGGTGCAGGGACTTGCTGACGATCCCTCCGGGAGGCTGGGGCAGAGCCTGTGTTCGGGGCCAATGAATGGAGTATTGTAGCGTTTGCTCCAACGTGACCCTTCCCCAGCTGGTGCCTGTTTTGTTGAAAGGCTCCAGAGCAGGCTGCCTTAGGCCAAGCAGCTGGTTTTGTGGGTGCTGCCTTTTCCTACTGCACACAGCCTCGTACTGAGCTGCTGTCCTTGGGCTGCCCTGTGGCCTCGCCTGAAGGAGAGATGCTTTGCTGGGATGCTAGCTTCTCATGGAAACAGACCCCCAGTGGGTCCTGCCACTGGCGTTCTGTGCATGCCCAGGTGTGCCCACGTCCTGGGCTGCACATCACTTCGTCAAGGTGGGGCCCACCACACTGGCTTTTATGCAAGCTGGGTTTATCTGAGTCAGGCTTTTAAATTCTTCTATCTCCCCTTTCTTTAAGTGTGTTTTTAATAAGATTCACAGGTGTGGGTTTTGTCTTTTTAATGCAGTTTATGAATTCTGTTTTTTAATTAGGAGAATGTTTACTTAAAATCTTGGAATTGTTCTAATTGTGTAAACTGTATGATTTCTCAATTAGTAAAATTCGTTGTTTCTCTTTAACTTAAAGAATTTCTATTGGATGCTGTGTTTTTTTATTTATGTAAGTGAAATCAAATGTAACATTTTCTGCACAACCCAATTTCCTACTGTTTTATTATGTTTTCACTTACCCAACAAAAAACAGCCTGTGCTCATTTCTTTATATTTGTTCTACCTTGAAAATGTTTTTCTAAATAAAATTTTAAAAAAAGAAAAAAGAAAAAAAATGTTTTTCTTTCTTATAAAAATATTCAGAATTTTTTTTGTCATTCACTCACCTTCTGTAAGTCTTTCTTAGTCAAATCCTTTTAGTTTTGGTTTTGTATTCTGAAAACTCTTCTCTCCAGTTAAATATTTTTAAACTGCGATCATCACACTTTATGACTGTACTTTATACCCTTGCTTTTAAGACTGGGACGTGCACACCCGCGGAGACAGACTATGGCATCAGGTTATCTCGCACAGAGCCCCCGAGAAAGGTGTGAAGCTGAGCAGCCGTGATTCTATGTGGTTGGCTGTTCGCCTGGCTCAGCTGGCAGGCTCCGGTGCCCCCCACCCCAGTTCATAGGCTGGCTTGGGCCAGTCCAATGTTTTCTGTCCAGCATTCTAGAATGCAGAGACTCAATCAGTGCTGGGCCCTGGAAAGGGAGAAACAGACTCATCCTTCAGTGAACTTGTTCCCTACCCCAACCCCAACACACACACACACACACACACACACACACACACACACACACACACAGCATGCTGTCCCCACCAGGACTCCGTGGAGGACTGTTGTTATCTGAAAAAATCGGGGTCTGTTGGGAGAGAGAATGCCAAAGAGCAGTTTGGTAGGCTACAGAGGAAGAATAAAAGCTTCTCCGTCAGTACCATCATCTACAAGATGCTTGGTTATTTCACACTCCTAAGAGTGGCTAATGTTTAGGATAACTCCTTATTCAATCATGGTATTAGCAAAAACATATATTTGCTAAGTGCCAGGCACCATTCTAAATGCTTTACATATATCAACTCATTTAAATCTCACATCAACCTTATGAGATGGTACCATAATCACCCACATTCTAAAGGTGAAGAAAGCAGACAGAGAGGTGGAGTCACTTGCCCAACATCACACAGCAAGTAAATGGAGGAGTTGGATTTGAATCTAGCAGTTTGGTTCCCCTTGGCTTACGTGCCGTGCTGTATTGCTGTTGTATCGGGCTTGCAACATGAGAGATGCCTTTCTAGCTTCATATGAGGCTGGTATCTGGCAGGGGGCAAGGTATAGGAGAACACGATCTTGTCCTGTGAAGACCTCCCACTGCAGTGAATTCTCCAACACAACAAGGGTATATACATTCTGGGTCTGGTGAGCTTAATGCCATTCTTTCTCTTAAAAAAAAAAAAAGATTTATTTATTTATTTATTTTTAGAGAGGGAAGGGTGGGAGGAAGAGAGGGAGAGGAAACATCAATGTGTGGTTGCCTCTCACGCGCCCCCCCATGCGGACCTGGCCTGCAACCCAGGCATGTGCCCTGACTGGGAATCAAACCCTTGGTTCATGGGCGGGCACTCAATCCACTGAGCCACACCAGCTAGGGCCATTCTTTCTCTTTTAAAGTGTAATAATTGTGAGAAGCCATTTGCAGCTGTTGAGACACATCTCTGATTAAAATGGAAAGTTTGAAACCAGAAAAAATCTGGGAAATGGGAGATCAGAGAAAGAAAAGGAAAGATTAAAATAGGATGAAAGAATATAAAAATTAAGACAAATTTGTGTGGGAATAAATGTTTACAAAGAATAACATTGTAAATGAGAGAATTTTCTGAACTTCACATTTAAAGTAGTATATGTGAAGTAAAAAATTAAAAAGAGCAAAGAACTAGAAAAGAAAAAATTAAACCTAAAAAGTTAAGAATAACATGATATAATCCTGATAAAATAAAATTAACAGTTAAAATATTTAAAAAGATAAGATAGAAATAATACTATAAAGGTAGAAGGAAAAGAAAAATGTAGTTTTAAAAACTAAAGTGAGACAGGATCAAAAACAGGGCATCTATATACTCAGACAGAAACTGCAAGCTGGGATTGTGGTCTGGGCGGGTCTAGTTGCTGGAGGGGAGGAGGCCAAGAGCAATGGATACGACATCCGATGAGAAATGTTTTCTGCTTACCCGCAGCACTACCAGCCCGCACTGGTAAAGACGGGGCCCAGGGCTCATGGCACTTGAGTGCATCCCACAACGAGCTGGAGCCCCCTCCAAAGCCTCAGGCCCAGGCCAGCAAACACACCTTCACTTTTGGTTCTTGGAACATTCTACCTTAGCTTTTTTTTAACTTAGTTCTTTCATTATCCTTTACTATCTTCCTTCAAGGTGAAATTAGCACGTGAAAGGTAATGAAAACATGTTTTTGAGTGAATTTATTCCATCTTACCTCCTGAAGTTCTTTTTTTTTTTTTAAAGATCTTATTTATTTTTAGAGAGAAGGGGAGGGAGAGTGACAGAGAAACATCAATGTGTGGTGGCTTCTCCTGCACCCCCAACTGGGGACCCAGCCCGCAACCCAGGCATGTGCCCTGACTGGGAATCAAACCAGTGACCCTTTAGTTCGCAGGCCAGGACTCAATCCACTGAGCCACACCAACCAGGGCACCTCCTTAAGTTCTTACGGTGTTTGGTCATTACACTGTTTTTATACACATACACAAACACAGGGACACAAGGTCCACCTTTATCACCTTGCTACATCTTTGAGATTGCAACACATTATTGATCCTGAGTTGCTTATTTATTCTTTTCACTGTAATTGGTGGCAGTGGAATTGGGTGGGAAGAACAAGACCATCTACGGGGCTTGTTCTTGGACTGGGCCGTTAGAGAGAGGGTGAGGTGATGAGGGAAAGGGGAGGTGTCAAGAACGACTTCTGGGGGTCTGCCTTTGGGACTGGGTGGATGTCAGGATGGGAAAAGGCCAAGTGGTTGGTGGTGGTTAGGAATCAGGGCTGGGCTGGAGCTGGGAAGCTCTGGGGCAACTACATCTGTCTGTGATCCCTAAACTGCCTGGAAGGCTTGGACTTCACAACACCTTGGCCCCTGAAGGCGAAAATGGATCTCTGGAGGCAACAGATGGCTCACTTCCTACACAAACACAGTGTGATAACCCCGGTCTTCCACTCTCCTCTTGGGTATTGGGCAGGCTCCGGTGGCTTCCTTCACTTGGCTCAACCCAGTCCTCAGGATACTGCCTGCCCTCCCGCCAGCCTGGCATTCAGGGGCAGGGACCACGCCTAGGTTGCCCCCTGTGACTCCCCAGTGCCTCCCCAGCCCTGCACCTAGCTCTGAGCAGGTGTTGCTGAGTAAACCCTGTCACAGGACGAGGCCGGCGTTGCTCCACTCGGCATGTAGAAGCCGGGTGGGACGCCGCAAGGCTGGCGGCATCCGCCGAGGTTGAGGGTGGGCCCGGTGTAGCACTGTCGGGGAGCCCGGGGTGTGGGTGTCTGAGGAGGGAGGTGGGAGTGCTGGGATTCAGGAACAGGGGCGGGAACGTGCCCGCCGACCGCTGTCCCCGGGTCGGGAAGGAAGGCGTCTCAGAGGCCAACTAGCTCGAGTCAGAGGCTTCAGCCAGTCGCCCCCGCGAGGCGAGATCGGAGAAGCTACGGTGGACCCCCGTCGGATCCCTCGCCCCGCCGCAGCGGAACTGCAGCCGACCACCGCCCCTGCGGCGCACGTGCGGCGCGCGTCGTTCTTGGTCCCTTCCGGCCACCGTTGCTCTCTGTAGCGCCGCGGCCGTGACCCGGAAGAGCATTCTCCTTAGCAACTGCGGGACCGCGGCGGCGCCTCCCGGGAGCTACGGTGAGGCCACCCGCCCCCGCCCGGTCAGCCCCACCTTGACCCCTTTCCAGGACCGACCGGGGTCCGGCCTGTGGAACCTCCGCGGGCCTTCGTGGGGCCCCTGCGGCGGCCCTGGGCGAGCGCCCTCCGCCTCTGACATTTCTCTCCGGTCCTGGCATCGCCCCAGCCCATCCCACGCCCACCCAACTCCTGGCAGACCCGGCCTCCGAGCCCCGGCTCCTCGCCGCGGGCCCTCCCTCGTAGCCCGGCGTGGAGTGCGGGGCGCGAAGCCGGGTGCTGTGGAGAGGCTGCTTGCCGAGGCTCGGGTCACCTGTGGACGCGTTCTCACGGGGCTGACAGGGACGGGGCGTCTCAGGAGCCGTGAACAGCAGCCACTTAAGTTTATTACTTGACGTTTGCCAGCTGCCTCCCGGAGTGATGTACTTAGTCTGCTCTGTCGATCTTGGAGACCCATTTCATTGAATATTGTGTCTTTTCCCGGGGAATTAGCTTTCCAGTTTTTAGTGATGTGCAGTTAGTATTCAGTAGTTAAGATTTTGTATCTTCCTGCATTTCCACAGAAGGAACTCTCCCTTGGGACTGAGTAGGTTTAGGAAAAATGTCAAGTGAAATTCGCTACGTTGAAGAAAGCAGGGGCAGGCGTGGTTAATACATCTCTGATTTACATTTGAAAACATTTCAACACAGTCTCTTATCAAAATCCCAGCTGTTTGTTTTTCTTTCCGGAAATTGCCAATCTGAAATTCATATGGAATTACAAGGGCCTGAATGAACACCTCCCTTAACTGAGTTGGGAGGAAGAAGTGGCAAGGTTGCTGGAGAAAGACTTTATGTTAATCCAGTGATGAGGGAGCCAAGACAGGCCTATGAACTATGTTTGGAAATGACATTATTTGGGAATCAAAAGCAGGAGTTTATAGATCAATATCCATTATTCAAAAACAAGAGAATTTAATTTCAGTTCAGTGAGTATTGATTAAGCCCCTACAGTGTCGTGTGCACCTGAAAGGACACAAGGGAGAAGTGAGACTGCACGTAGTCAATGTCAGGAGAACTAGACAGTAGCATTCGTTTAAATGCAAAATAGTGAGGGGAGAGACCAGTATTAGTCTGAGCTTTCGGGAATATGTTTAGATACTATGAAGTATAGATACTATTTGTCTCTATGGATATATCATATTCATATTGGCTAGGACAGGGAATTCTAAATACTTTCTTTCCTTATCTTCTTGAGGGTTTGGGAAGTAGTCTCATGTGACATTTTGTAGTATTTATTTAGATTTCTAAGGCCACTTGATTGTAATATCTGTTTCTTTCAGTACAAATCTGTCTGGCATTTTACTGTGTTTGAGATCTAATATGATGAGGCTACTAGCTGGGGGAGGGGGCTCGGGGGGACTGTGCTGCTTAGAAATTCTTTCCTCTGCTTCTGCATACTCACTAGTCTTGTGAAATGTTGCTGTCTTCTTCCTTTGACAGGTATTTCCAGAACCCTTCCTATGTAGCAGGCTCTGTATCAGGAAATACCAAAAATAAGTGACTCAACAACTAGTAGCTCTGCTTTACCTGTGGGGTGTGTGTGTGTTTAGACTGTCCCCTTGGATACTCTGCATTTGCCTAGAGACATAGAAGGGCCAGAGAAATTTACACGGGTATACCTCTTTTTATTTTGCTTTGTTTGATTGTGCTCCACAGGTGTTGCATTTTTTACAAATGGTAGCAAGACCCTTGACCAGCAAAAAGATTAGGACTCACTTTATTGCATTACTCACTTTATTATGGTTGTCTGGAATTGAAACCAAAATATCTTTGAGGTACGCCTGTACGTGCATCCAAATTGACTTATTTTTCTCTTTAAAGAGTTGAATAGGGATTTTAGGCCCAATTGCTTTGGGTATTCGCCAGAGATTAATTTTGTGAAGAATGTACACTCTTAAGGAGACCCCTTATGAAGTTTTATTGTTTTTTTTTTTTACAGGTTTAGTGCCCATTTATTCACTTAGTCAATACATTGAGTGCTTACTTGGTACCGGGCACTGTCCTTGGCCTTGGAAATGGGGGAGAGTGAGTGCGTACAGGGTCCCTGTCCTCAGCGGATGGTGTCACATCATCCCACGAATGTAAAACTGCAACTGTGACAACTATTTGAGTCAGGGAAGTCACAAAAGTGACGTTTGCACCGAAATCTGAAGGATGCACGGGAAAGGAAGAGGGTTCTGTCACCGCAAATGGCGAGGACAGAGCCTGCGAAGTCACGGTGCAGGGGGAGGACTAGGGCTTACAGGCAGCTCGGTGTGAGAGCAGGAGGAGGGAGAGGGATCTGGTGGGAGAGGGGCTGGAGAGGTGGGCGGGAGAGTGCTGCCTTCGAGCAGGTAGAGGAGCTTCTCTTTATCTTTGGGGTAAAGAGAAACCTACGGTTTTACTTAATAACGGACTTGGGCTGCGTTACGGGTGGGGATGACACAGTCAGATTGCGTGTGAATAGCCTGCTTTGTATTCCCACTGTTCCTTACTATTTGTATCATCTTCTCGTTCCTCATTTTCTCAACCTGCTCCCTCAGCTTTATTGTCGCTGGGGAAGCCTCTCTGTCCTACCAGCGAGACACTTCACTCTTTTTTAATTGGGAGACAAGGAATTTTAGGGTTTGGGACTAGACATTAGAAATTAGTTGATAGGGAATCTTTATGCAGTAGTGTGACCTCTAGGACACTGATTTCTGTGTCTCTTGTTTTAAATTGTAATAAAAACATTAAATTTACCCTCTTAGCCATTTTGAAGTGTGCAGTTCATTGTTGCATAACAGATCTCTAGGACTTTGTCATCTTGCAAAATGAAAACTTACCTGTTGAACAACTCCCTCTTTCTCCTTCTCCGAGCTCCTGGAACTCCGCCCCCCCCCCCCCCCGCCCTTTCCACCTCTCATGATTTTGACTGCGCCAGATATCGCATGTAAGTGAAATCCCACAAGGTACGTTCGTTTTTACCTTCATACTCCTTCCCTAGAACCCTGGTATAATATCCTTCCTTTTCTCATCAGTAAATTCAAATCCTCCCAGTTTTTTTTTTTTTAATCCTCACCTGAGGATATATTTTTATTGATTTTAGAGAGAGGAACAGAGAGAGAGAAAGAAACATGGATTGTTGCCTTGCGCCGACCAGCGATGAACCTGCGACCTAGACATGCGCCCTGGTCGTGAATCAGGTTTGCAGCCTCTTGTAGGGATGATGCTCCAACCAACTGAGCCACCCCGCGAGGGCCGGCCCTCCTGCTTCTCTAAGGCCCAGGTCCTCTCCCTTGTCCTTCAGCTTGGGTTAGCAGACCCAGAGTGGAAGAGGCCTTAGAAAGTGTCTAGGGGAGCAAGGCGAGCCCTGCGGAAGTCTCAGCGATCGGCCCGTGGACGGACCTCTAGTGAGGAGAGCCAGGCTGGGACTGGGGCGCCAGGCTTCCCTCTCTCGGCGGTGCCTGCTCCGCCCCCGCCCGCTCGCTTGGGGAGGGATTCAGTGCTCCACTCCTTAGTTAGATCGGGGTGCGCGGAGGCGCGGACCCTTGTTCCCGTCCCTGTGACGTCATGCTGAGGCCCATCAGATGCAGAGGAAGTATTTGTCCACGAGTTGATTGTCTTCAGGGTGTTTCTTGCCTGAAAGGTGGCCCTGCATACAATGTGAACTTCATCTATTTTAGATCCTTGATTATATTAATCAGATTTACATTAGTCCTTCAGTTGAATCATTCTTTCACTTGTGCAAGCAGAATTAAGACTTTCTCACCACTTCCCAACGCTCTCTGTCTTGAATGTATTTGTCCATGGGATGTATATTGGATTCCCTTGCAAGTTTTGATGAAAATCTAGTGAAAAAAACTGTCAGAAATGAAAAACCTAACGCATTAAACTTTCTAGGTTAGCTGATCTATCCTGAGGTGAGGGTTTATGCTTCTTTGTGAGCTTCATTGCTGCTTAGTGTCTCTCAAAGCAGCGTATTTGTGCCACCCTTCATAGTGCGCATCTCAGACCGCCTGTGGGTCAGCTGATTTTGGGCACTGGACTGGAAGTGATTTTGACATGGCTCAGTATTTCTAAGGCAAAAACAAAAGTGTAACAAAGCATTTTCTCATGTGAGGAGGATTTTTAACTTTTATTTGTAGTTTCCCCATGTATCCCACCCAGACTTTGCTTTTCTGTAATGTATTACCAGCCTTATAGAATCTAACTTTTAGAATATCCTCTTAAAGGTAACCTTCAGAGAGTTTCTTTTTTTTTTGTTTTTGTTTTTGTTTTATATGGGTGGTTGCTGTGGGAGGTCAAGTTCATTCCTCACTGGAATACCACCGAGCACACGTGCAGATCACACTGTGAGCCCGGAACGGGCCCGCGGGTCCCTCGGAGGCTGGGCCGTTGCCGGCGATGCCAGGGAGGCTTGGCGCGAGTCCCTGTTGTCCTTATCAGACCGAGTGCGGTGGCGGAACTGCACAAAGCGCCCCTCTGTGCCCTGTGACAGGAGATAGATCTGACAACGGGGGCTTTTCAGATAGCATTTTACTTGGGGCCAGAGCGAGAACTCGATGCCCAAGAACTTGGTGCCCCAGAGTTGCAATTACGTGATTAACTCTTACGTTGAGGCTAGAACCGGTCAAGTTCAGTCCCGTTAGTCCAAAAACACTACCTTTCCCCCGCCGCCCAATATTTAAGATTATGGTGTGTTGTGGGGATTATTATTTATGGATCACCTTGTATGTCAACTAACCCCCATGCATTGTGTCATTTTATAGCCAATATTTGTCCAGTGAGAGACATGATTTGACTCCTTCATTGAGAAAACTGAGTCATAGGAAGTGTTAGGACCCGTGGAGGTAGGGCCCCGTGCCTGTCTGATGCCAAAGCCCGCACCGCTCCCTTCACGGGGCCCCGGGTTCTGATTTCAGCATGTCCCACTGGTCGGGAGGATGTCAGTGGAAAGACTGCAGCAATGGTAAAGAGAAGGGCAAGCACAGGAGTAGGCT